TGAATGACAGGAGTTCATTCCACTACTCTTTCCATTTTTCTATAGATCTTTTCAAAAAAAGCTGTGGAAAAAATTGTACAGAAATAAATATATTATCAATCTCCTATAACATCAGTATATAAATCTATAACAGATGTACCTAAAACAAGTAGATAATGATTTACATGGAATAAATGAAAAATTTTAAAAAGAAAAATACAAATTTCATATAAACAGAATTAAAAATGGAGATGATTAAATAGGATAATCATTTTTGTGCATGAAAAGTGTACTCACTGTCTACTGTACAGCATTCTCACTGTCCCATTGTTACTCCTCAAGTCACATTCCTCGAGTCACGTGCTCTGTGAATCCATGGTCTCTAATCTCAGCTGAACGTCTGTGTTGCTCAGAAATCACTGTAGTTCATGGACACCCAGTTCCTCCAATTCTCCAAAGACAGCATTTCCTACTTTTACCACTCTGAACTGTTTCATTATTTTCCTAGCAGACGATCTCAGTCCCAACTTCAGAGAATACAGAAATATCCGATGGGAAGTCCTTCACCTGCGTTTTACCAAATCTACGAAATCTGCAGCTGCTCTGTGGTAGACGCTGCCATTTGGCTGATCTAAGTGCCATTCCCAAGTCCTGTCTCCTTGACTTCTTCCACCATGAGGGTGAGAATGCTTTCCTTCCCTTTAAAAAGAATGCTCCCTTTTAAATAGGCTTGGCCATGCCACCAGTGCTGACCAATGAGATGTAAGCAGAGGTCTCCTGGCATCCTCGGGAAACTCTTTCCTGATTAAAGGACCAAGTGTAGCCAACACCATCCCTTCCCCCTTTGTCCTGCCTTGACCACAGCCTGAGAGGAAAAGGCCAAGACAAATGCAGTGATGTCAGCCCCTTAGTGCTGATATCACTGACTTCAGAAGCCATTGTTTCTGCCCCCAAGTGCTTACCTTAAATTTGTCGTGTGAGAAAAATAAAATTCTGCTTGAGTGAGGCACTTTCAGTACCTGGGTTTCTGTTATTTGCAATGGGAAGCATTCCTGACACTGAACCCATGCCTCCCCCCATTTTACAGTTAAAAAGAGAGGCTTCCTGCACTACCGCCCGCAGATGCCATCTTCTTCCCCCTTCTCCGAGGTCTCCCTCTACTGAATGCAACCTCTCCCCTTCAGGATCTTCAGCCATTCTGTCTCCACCAATTATTTCACATCATTAGTGTTAAACCCACTCAAGTCTCTCACATATTAAATAAAAATTAAACTGTCCCTCAACCTCCCATCTTCCTGTAGCTTCTACCTTATCTTTACCCTCCTTTTCACTAATGTTATTAAAAAAGCCGTCTACTTGTTTCTTATTCATTCCTCAACTTGCTGCATCTGGATTCAGCCGCAGCCACTTGACTGAAGGATTTTTTTTTTGTAAGGTCACCAGCAACATCCTTATTGCAAAATCCAATGGGAATTTTTTGGGTTTTATCTTTTTTGACCTCTTTGTAGCATTTGACACCATGACTATTCAATCCTTTTTGGAACTGTTTCCCTGAATTGTTAAGAGCATTCTGCCCTAGTTTTTCCTCCCTCTTCTAGCAGATCCTTCTAAGCCTATTTTAAAGGATCCCCCTTTGCAAATCCTTTGCATGTTGCTGTGAAATTAATCCTATATACTGATGTCTCCTCAATCCTTATCTCCTCAGCAGCTCTCTACTGAATATCTTGAAATGTTTATGAATACTTCTTAGTATCTGTGCGTATCAAGTTGGAAATGTCCTACGGACTGCCCCAAACCTGTTTTTTTCCCCCATGTTCTCTTTCTACATAAGGGGTCCCACCATCCACCAAGTGGCCCAACCTAGCTTCTAGGATGATCCTTAATTGTCCCTCTCTCTCCCCTGTTTCTCAAATCTAGTTAATCAGTAAGCTCCACAAATTCAGCATCAAGCTCCGTGGTCTGCGTATTCCTTTCAGTCTTGCTGATTTCATTCTCAGTCAGGCCTCTGGGGCCATCACTTTCCTAACACCTCTCCTCCAGCTGACACCAACTCCATGCTGCACCTAAAAGAAACTTTCGGTTTCTCCAAAACTGCCAACCTCTCTTCCACCTCTGGGCTTTCATGCATGCTGTTTCCTCTGACTAGAATACTTTTTGCAAGCCTAAAACTCACCAATGAGATGTTTGTGTTACCAATGCCCTAATAACCTTAGGCTGGATTGAGCACTCCTGCAGTATGTTTCCATAACATCCATACCCACACTAAGATTGTTTTTGTTTTCTTTTGCTCCATGAGGATACATTTGTTCTCCAACAAACTGTCTTTCCAAATAGATTTCTCAATTAGATTATAATGCCAGGATTTTTGTTTTATTTGCACTAAGACAACAATTCTCTTTATGGCATTGACATTCATCAAAGATTGTGCATTGAATCTCTGAAATATTAAGGATTCCCATTTAGTTTAAGAGCCATTTACCCTACAAAGAAAAAGGGACATAAATGCTAGAATAAGTAGTTATTTATGATAGTGATTAAAAATTGTTATATCCCTCTTATTGAAATGGGTATATCCTACTTTTAAAAACAAGGAGCAATCCTCTATCATCTTGAAAGTATGTAAATTGGTTATTGCATATTGCAATAGAAATCCCAAGAAAGAAATACACAGAGTATGTATAAATCACTAACTACATCCATATGGATCGCCCACATGGAGGAAAAGGCTGCAAATGCATTCAAGAGCTTTGACATGACATGTAAGTATAATCCAATTGAATAAAATCTAATTAATTCAATCTAATTGAATCATCAGTGAAGCAGAGGCCGAAAAGGGTAAAACAATTTAAAAATAGGACCCTTATGTAATGGTGTTATAAGTAAATTCAGAAATAACAATGTGACATTATTAAAATATCCGGATTATTACCAGGATTTACCACAATTAGTTTTCTCTAATAAATACACATGTGCTTCAGATTATAAAACCAAGAAGTTCACTTACATGATGAACCAAAAGCTGACCCACTGATCAGCTGAAACTCTTCACGGCCAACACAATATAACTTAACATGCAAAATGCTATTTGCAATTCAGATAAATTTTAGGGTGAGGCACTTTTCCTTATTCTAAGGAGAAAATAGCAGATTTAAAAAAAATTTTTGCATGCTATGTTTAGAAAGTATAAAACCAAAGGACCACATTGTCGTATTTATTGCAAGGCAAAATACATTTCAGTGCAATAATATAATTTTCCAAAGAAAAAGGCTGTCTACATACCAACATAGTCAACATTCAAGAAAGATTAGGGCCAAAAGTTTAAGAAAAAGTATCAATTTTATATTTTACCAATGATCTTTCAGGCTGAATATGACTTGGCTTAGGAATATGATTTGGAGCAAAATGCCTGGCAAAAACTGCTAAATCAATGCTTTCAAGTTCCATACTCATCTTCTTTAGGGTTTCAGATATTTTCCTAAAACTCTTATATTTTTGGTTTACAGTTAGGATATCATACACCTCCATTTGCTTTTATTCTATAATTAAACTTTAAGCTCCCTGAATGCAGGTACTGGTTGTTTCAGTGTTTGTATGTCCTATTAAGCCCCACATACTGAGATTCACAAAAATAAAAGCTTGAAAATAAATGAATAAGCCCCACATCACGTATTGCGGCATACTAGCTCTTAGAATCTGTATTGTTCACAGACTGGGGTGCCTGACTGTCTCAAAACAATTCTCTGGTGGCCATGTCTGGGGGACACCTTTCTGTAGAGACTCTATTCCTTTAGCTGCAAGAGTCAGCACACAAACCAAGCTTGGCCAATAAGAGTCCTTCTTCTGCACCTTAGAAACTGTAATTTTTCTATGATCTCAGGGTTGTTGGGAAATGAACCTTGGATCTGTCAGGAGCTACTTCTCCAGTTTCAAGGAGAAGCTGGTCTTCAGCCAACACACGGTGAAAGCAGAGATGAGGAAAGTGAGAGGCCAGGTGAAAGTTCAGACACCCCAGAACCACCTGCCCCCTGCTCTTGCCACAACTAGGTTATGAAATCCAATGCATTCCACTGATTTACTTTCACTAGTTTACACAAGGATTCCATCACGGGAGGCCAGAATTCTAACTAGCACAGACACAGATTTGTATTACTGTAAGAATTCTTGGAATGGAATGGAGTCCAAAATCCTCATGTTAAGTATTAGGAAAATGGATTAGTTAGAGAAGTTAAGTAGCTGGCCTAAAGTCTCACAATGAATTTGTAAGGAAGCAGGAAGCAGATTCTGCAGGTTGGCTCAGTCCCACTCATTCTAATACCATTTCCCAGTCTTCTTACAGCTGGGGTGCAGGCATGTGGCCTCAGTTCCTGGAAAGCATCCAGCCAGAATTTGGAAAAGAAATGAGTGATGAGAAGTGGCCACTGCCTCCAGGGAGTCTGCGTCTTCTGGGGAGTGTGGTGGAGCCAAGCAGCTCCTCTGAGACAACTGAAGTGGACTCTCCAGCATACACTATCCATCTTCCTGGTAGAAGAGCAGCTCCCTCAAACATTGATTGTTCTGCTTGATTTGGTTGGGTTTGCTTGGTTTTGACTACAGTATCCAAAACTGGTTCTACTGCTCTCCCAAGATTGTGGGAGCCACCTGATAACACTCAGTCAATCTCTGTCTGCTTAATCTAGCTGCAATTATTTGAGACCAAGAACTTTACATAGAATTCCATACAGTGTTTGGTACCTGGAAATGGGGCACTGTGTACTCACATGTGGAACTGGATTACAGGTGGTAGACTTGGAGCAGCAAAGACACAGATACTAAGAGCGGAAAGCTGGGAACTCTTTTATGATGCAGAGATACAAAATTTTGTCAAACTAGCCTCTGCTATATCTTGGAATGTAGGCTAAGAAAAATTTGGCCTGGAATGAGGACATTCAATAGGAGTACCCAGAATTCCTAATCTTCCTCCCAAATGTAATGTTAGTTAGAAAATTGTTTTCAGTGGCATCAGAAAGTATAAAAAGAGTGACTTAAACACATTGAGAATTTTATTTTTCTCACACCTGAAGATTAATGGACACTGAAAGGAGAATCAGTCTATGAAGTTCCTGTGTTCAAAATGGCAATCACAAATCATCAATAAAACAGTAAAATGCTGAGCAATATGCTGTTTAAGAAGAGACAAAAGTAGGTCATATACTATAGAAATATTTCATTGGGATAACTTTGTATCTTGCTCATGTGAGTTGCCTTGCAGCCTAGAACATACTTCCATATATTCTTTCTCTCAACCCCTTTCCCTACCTCTCCCATTTTCCCTCATCTTTCTTTTATAGCTCTATAACCCCATAGGTTATCTATAAGGAGTCTATAAGTAACTAGATTTAAAAAGTTTTGTAACTTCCTCAACATTAAAAATCAAGTAGCAGACTCAGTATTAACTAGAAGTGGGGCAGATGCAGGTTTAGAGAGGCCTGAAGCAAATGCAATTTGCAGAAGCCTTTTTAAGAAAAATAATGCAAAATTTTAAATACAAAATCAGATATGAAAGTGAATGAGGAAAAAAAATCACACTGCATTATAAATTTTATAAGCTGACAAATATCACTAATTTATCACAGGAGCTAGAAAAACAGCATCTATTTTAATTAACTGTCCAATACCCTGCTCTGATATATTTTCCTACCTTTTTAGGCTGCATACTCTCATCATCTCTCAAATGCAAATAATTTTTAAAATTATTTGTTGGGGATAAAAAACTTTCAGTTATTTCTTTAGCATAGCAGGTTAAGTGAATTCTGAATTATTGACAATTTTGAAAAAAAATAGCTTTGCCACTTGTTTAATATCATGCAAGCTGAAGTTGGGGAAAGAACTTTCTTGCATGAACTAAAGATTTCAGGGCATTTCATTTCTTATACAAGTTAACCTTAAATACATTATGACAACACTTAATCAGTTTGTCACTGAAAATTCAATTTAGTGGGGTGCTGGGAGTTTTATGCAGTTTTAATGCTACCTGTAAATCTGGGATAACTTTAGTTTTACCTGACCAGACAACCCTCAAGAACTTTACTGACAAACTAGGTCCCTGAACCTTGGTGCTGTTCACAGCCCATCCTTTCTCCTGTAGATATGGCAGCAGTCTAGGAACTGCCCCTTCTAAATCTGCAAGACAATCAGACATGAGCATAATATCAACAATGTAATGATATAGCTGTGCCATTTGCAGTTTCTTCCATGTGGCCAAGTCCTGGTCTACAAGTCCATGACAAATGTTGGGGCTGTGGCAGTATCCCTGTGGAAGGGTAGTGATTGTCCACTGGCAGCCTTCCCATGTGAAGGCAAACTGCTCCTGACTTTCCTGTGCTGTATCAATAGAGAAGAAAGCATTAGCAAGGTTCACGACATAATGATACATCCCTAGTACATTACTGAGGGTGTCCATGAAGACTGCTATAGAGGGCACAGCAGCGTGCAAAGGGGTTGTGACTTTATTCAATTCCCTGTAATGCACAGTCATATGCCAAGAGCCAACCAGCTTTTTCACTGGCCACACCAGGGAATTAAAAGGACTATGAGTGGTCTTTATGATGCCCACCTTCTCCAACTCCAGTAGAGCTTCTCCAATTTCCTTATGTCCCCAGACAATTTATGCTGCTTAGTATTTGTCACTTGCTGAGGTACAGGAAGAGCTACAGGCGGGTTACTGAGCATGTCCCCTCAGAACTACCTTTACCACATGTTCCTTCAGTCTGAACTTACCTGCAGGGGTCTGTAACCACAGGCCCTGCCAAATTTCGACTCCCAAAATATATTCTGGGATAGGAGAAATGTACACAGTATACTCCTTTGGGGGCAGATGCCCTATCCCCAGTGGGATTTGGCCTTTCTTCACTCTAATTGCCTTACCTCCATACCATCAGGGCAGGGGTCTCAGGGAAACAGTCAGGGTTGCCATAAATTAGAGAACATTCAGCTCCTGTGTTCACCAGCACCAGGACATGTACATTCTCAGGTGACCAATGAATTGCTAATTCTACATGTAGCCTCCGGTCCCCACCACATCCCCCAAGGTGGGGAGCTTGACCCCTCCCCCAAACCATGATGCCCAATCGTCCTCCTGTGGGGGTGAGGGCCCAGGTGGAGCCTGAGTGCCATCCCCCAAGAAGTCTTGCAGGGACACAGGTAAGACCTGGGGCTTTGACTCTGGTTTCCGTGTCCCGGACCTCAGTGGCTGGAACTGCTGCTCTGTCTTCAATCGGTACCACCATTCTAACAAGATCCTATCAGGCTCCCCATCAAGTTTTTCTTTTACTACTTCCACCTTTATCAAATCAACCCACATGTACACCCTCAAGATCTTCAAGGGGCCCTTTGCACCTCTCCTTTCAGTCATAGCCCATACTTCCTTCTGTGCTCTTATTGTTTCAACCTCCCCCAGATCTGCTAAAGTATGAGTAGCCTCACTTATGAGTTGCCGTATGTGGGGGGCAAGAGAGGTCACTGAGGACCCAAAGAGAGATGGGGATGTTGTATACAGCACCAGATTTCTCATTCCTATGTTGAACAACTCCTAATTGGGGCCCTGGCGGTCCAAATCATAGATGACATTTTTCATGCCCAGCTCCTGTAACACCTGCTGGAGCTCTGCATACATTTTCCAGCTAGTGGGTAAGTATGGTAAATCACCCTGATTAGGCCAAACTGCCCTGATGGCTGCTGTCAGCCGAACCAGAAGTGCCCAATTCCCAGAGGTGTGACAAGCACTTTGCAACAGCTGCTGGAGGAAAGGGTGAGTTGTCAGGGAAGCCAGTCTACTCATCTCAGTACCCGACATAACAACGTTTCCCACCCTCATATCCCAGAGACGCAAAAGCTATGTAGGCAGAGGTTCCGACAACTTCTGCTGAAACCGGATGCTCATGTCCACCAGCTCCTCCTGGGTATAGGGGCAGAGCAGGGAGTGCTCCACAACCTGGGTAAAGGGTGGCTCCTGCTCCTGAGGAGCCCACAGTTGTTCTGTTTTTATTTTCTTAATTACAACAGGGTGGGCCTTTAATATGGGAGAGGCTGGTGCCTCAGGCGGTGTGGCCTCGGCAACATATTGGCCCTCAGCCCCACCCCTTCTTCTTCTCCCAACATCTCCACCATCTTCAGGGCTCAAGCTCCTGCTCTTTCCTCCCCCCTCCTCGACAGCCTCCTGCAATGCAGTTTTCTCTGCTGCCTCCTTCCTCGCTGCTGCTAAGGAACTTCCAGGAGCGTGACCTGCCTTATCAATAACTGTGTCTTTTTCTTGAGGGCATCCCATAGGTCATCACCCAGCTGCTCCAAGTGATGCTTAAGTGTGTCTCTCTCCCACCTAAGTCTCTCTTTCTCCTTGATAACCCTCTCTCTCTCCTTGATAACCCTTTCCACTATCTCTAGTAAAAGATATCCCACAATTCCTACTGCTACATAGCCACTCAGGGCCTCTAAGCAGTCTTCTATCTCACAGAGGGATAATTCCACAGTTTCCAGTCTCTTCACCCTTCCCCAATTCTGGGGACAGCCATACCCATCTAGTAGGTGCTTTACCCTAGACCAATTCCCCACTAGGGGCTCCCCAATTGGAAGCCCCACAAATATGGGACTCCCAGGTGAAGCAGCAACCCTCTAACACTGCAGCCACTGGGGCCTCCCCACCATCCACAGCAGGGGGTTCAGGGCATCTCCCCACCATCTCTAGGGGCAATGCACCCAAGGGTCACACCCACGTAGACAGATTTCAGGTTCAGATGTCCTGCCAACTATGGCCAGAGGGGTAACTCCAAGGGGAAAATCCCAGGGCAAAATACCTTTGAAACCAAAATCAGTTAAAGAGATAAATAAAGTGGAAGAAACCCATTTATTTCCTACAGTCATCCACTTCTGCTCTCCCATGTCTCTCACGACCTGGCTGCAGAAGAAAGGATCCCACCCACCCTCGCTGGCCCAGATATGCCCTTGCATGCCCTTGTAATTACCTATTGATTTGGAGATGGACTAAGGCCAGGCAAGAGATTCTGAAAATACTGCAGTTTTACCCACAATATCACCATTTTTTGTCAAATTAGCAAAAAAGTTAAATCTTTTACCAGTGTGTTCATATAATTAATTCATTACTCTTCATCAACTGGGTTCAATTTGAAATTCATCCTTTTCTATTTGAAATTTACCTTTCTCTCTTAACAATTTTCTGATTTTGATACAGTCTGATAATGTGTTATAATTTACTTCTTGACAGAAAAATATCTATTGATCTCATATAAAAATACATGAAAAATAATTTCACTTTGGGGTGTTTCCATAATTAAATGTGCTGCATAAATGAGTATATTCCTGTCAGGGCAGAATGTCTAATTTTGACTAGGTGGCAATGAGAATTGAAATATCTGCTTACATGCCTATGAATTTTACACATTTAATGAATTTACACAGCTAACAAATGAAAGAATATTCCACATATGAATTACCTTCTAACTGTACAGCTTTCAAACCTGTTTCTCCTCCATTGCCCATATATGTCTGGTAGTGGGAGATAAAGATCATTCATGCAGCAGCTAAACTTCTGGCCTGACCTTCAATATCGTGAATTTAGGTGAGTTTATGTAGTTGAAGTAGGAATATTTCTGTGGGAGCACAGATTCCACCAAGAAGGTTCACAATAACACATACAGAACAGCCTGGAGCACACATAAATATACAGTGAAAAGTTTGACAAAAGGGTAATTAAGGTGGAAAGAGATGAATCTTGCAGATAAAATACATTTCTCTTAGAAAATTTACAAGAACATATGACTATGTGAGCACAATGGCAGGACCTTGGAAATGGCCCATGCAAGTGAGGGGCCCTGGAGTTTGAACTTCAATAGCTTTACGGTGACCAGGCCTTTGCTCTTTCCATGTGGTTCTTATTTAATTTTTCCTAGCTTTATGGAAGTGTAATTAACATATAACATTGCGTAAGCTTAAGGTGTACAATGTGATTATGTGATACATGTATTATTGCAAGATATTTACCACAATAAGGTTAGTTAACACATTCTTCATGTCACATAATTACCATTTTGTTGTTATGGTGAGATAGTAAAGTTCTACTCTCACAGCAACTTCCAAATATATAACACAGTTACCATGCTGTGCATTGGATCCCTGGAACTTACTCATAACTGAACGCTTGTACCCTTTGACCAATATCTCCCCGTTTCTCCCACCTCTCAGTCCCTGACCATTTTACTGTTTCTGTGAGTTCAACGTTTTTTGGTTATTCTACATATAAGTAAAATCATATAATATTTGTCTTTGACCTATTTTACTTAGGATAATGTTCTCAAGTTTCATCTATGTTGTCACAAATGGCAGGATTTCCTTATTATTTTATGATCGAATGATAGATATTCCATCTCGTATATGTACCACATCTTCTCTATTGATGGGCACTTAAGTTGTTTCCATATCTTGGTTATTGTACATAAGTGGGATAAATGGAAGTTTTCAGCCAGAATTTCTCAGATGGCCTTGATGGTGATATGCATATAAGGGCCTGTTTGCATATCAATGGGATGTTTACCACTGGCAGAGCCCTGGTCAGATTGGGAATAAGGGGTAGAGAGTAACCATGGTTCTCTCCTCCCCTCTGTTCCTGGTACCTAACTGGTCAGGTGCCTGCCATTCACCAGGGACCTGCCCACAGAGTTCCTTCTGGAGGAAGGGGCTGACGGGGTTGGGGGAAGCAGGGTGCGTGCCACAGCCAGAAGGACTGGCTAGCTAGCCAAACGAGGAGCAAGGAGAGAGAGGCTGCAGAGCAGCCAGGTTCAAAGGGAGAGAGCACGGGCTGGGAGAGAGACTGAGCCATGAGAAATAAAAACCCTTTCCTCAGCCTCCCCTTTCCCTTCTCTTCCTCACTGTTTTCTATAGTAGCTGCACCAGTTTTCATTCCCACCAGCAGTGCATCAGGGTCTCTTTTCACCACATTCTCACCAGCATTTGTTCTGCCTTGTTTTTTTGATACTAGCCATTCTAATAGGTATGAGGTGATATCACATTGTAGTTTTGATTTGTATTTCCCTGATGTGGGTGATGTGGAGTATACTTTTCATGCACTTATGGGCCATTTGTATGTTTTCTTTGGACAAATGTCTATTCAGACATTTTTTTAATCTTTTTTTTTTTTTGCTATTGAGTTGTACAAGTTCCTTATATAATTTGGATTATATTTGCTAATTAAATTGTACAAGTTCCTTATATAATCTGATAAAAGTTATTGGATATATGGTTTGCAAATATTTTTCCCCATTCTGCTGGTTGACTTTACATTTTGATTGTTTCTTTTCCTGTGAAGAATTTTTTTAGACTGATGTATCCTCATTTGTTGGTTTTTGTTTGTTTTAATTTTAAAATGTAAGTCTTGCATAGTCAAAATTTAATCCCCCTTCCATTTTTAATCATTGGTAGAGGAAGAAGAAAGAAGGGGAAATAAAACAGAACTTCTTCCCATGACACTAGTATCTTGAGAGAATTTTACTTCCCACCTTGGGAGCTGAGGGGGGATGACTGCCCTTCTCATTTAACCACTTCACCTTTCTAAGCCTCCATTTTTCCATATGTGAAATGTGGGATTCAAAGCCTTTCAAATGTTAAGTCCCAATGAATAAATGAATGAAGCCTTGAGAGTCCCGGTCCTGTGATTGGGGCACGTCCATTTCAGTTCCAAAGGAAAAGCAACAGTGCTGCAGGAAAGGGTTCTGCATGCCTGGGAGTGGCATGGCACGGGACACCAGGGGCTTGTTCAGGAGCCACTGGGAAAGAAGAGACCATTCTAGAAAAATGGGGTCCTCATGTAGGAACTGAAACACAGGGTGGGGATGGTGCACGGGCAGAGCAGACCCCGAATGAACTTTACCAGTTTGCTTTGTCTGGGACTATCACCTACAACCACCTTTGGCAAACATACACATCCATACTTAGTATCAGAATGTTTTAAAATTTTTGATAAATTTGAAATACATATTACAAGAAAGGGTATATATACAACAAATATTTTAAAATATTAAAATGCTCAAAGACAAAAGGCATGACCCATGGAGGTAAGCACACACTTCCAAGTTTAGAAGGGCTCACTAATATTATAACTGAATGAGGCAATTAGAAAATAAGGGATCCTTTGAGCTGTAAAAATATGCATATTTACCCATTCCAGTCCCTGCTGGTGCAATTTCTCTCGAGTAAGTATCCACTGCCTTCTTCTGTTTATGATGCACCGACAGCCAAAGGACTACCTTTCAAGAACCCTATTAACAGAGAGTGCAAATCAACAAATGCATACCTCAAAATAAGGCACAAACTTGTATTTCTTCTATACATGAAAGATTTTTTTTTCTGGACCATATAATTATCTTTGTTTTGCATGATTACCAAAAGGAGTCTATTATTATAAGTTTTCTTGATTATGCCTCACATGTCCACAAAAATAAACATCTTATTAAAAATGGATGATAACCCTTTGACTCCCCATAATTAGGAATTCAACTTATCACTTGGTAATGATAGCTTGGAAAAATTGCCAAAATTTTATTTGTAAAATTATTTTCTCCCAATTTTTCCTCCTTTTATTTAACTGATACTGATTACTTTCTTCATGACAGGTGATTTTAAATTATATGTGTATAATTTCTGTAGCTCAATTTCTCCTAAAGAGTATATCTACCACATGAGAATATATGGTCATCGGGTAGCTTATTATAGAATGAATCAAATATCCTAGAATGAAATAAAATTATAGTATGTTAGAATGTAAGTAAAAATGTTTTTGAAAGTGTTAGTAATTCACTGGTCACCTTCTTTGAAACATGTGGTCTTTAGAAGGTCACTAGAAAGCAACGGAAGCTCAAGGTCCAGTTCTACTACTTATTCTAAAGATCTGTTTGTCCTTCATTAAGTCAGTTCATTTCTCCTTAACTTAATTTTCCTTTTTAGTAAAATGCAGATCATATCAGCTTCCCAACTACTTTATAGAGCTACTATGATGAAACAATTTGACATCAGATTTGAATCACTTCTTCCAGTACAAATATTAGATACAATTATTTTAATAAAACCAATACTTAGAGTAAAATTCTACTTTCCCATTATGTTAACCATCAATTTCCCTGTATAAAACCAACTTAATGAATCTATTTGATAATTTAATTATGTGACTAAACTGAGGTTCTTTGACACATCATGAAAAACAGACATAGGTACTATTTTTAAGTATTCTTTAATAAAAAGCACTTTCCAAACAATTAAATGTTGGCTTCCACAATAACATTTCATTTTTAAGTTCTACATTCATGAATTCTAATTTAATGAATTAAATTTGGCAATCAAACCACCTGGCAACTAATAGAGCACATATTTCTTTGTACAGTGAAATATCGACACTTTGACACCTGGTTTCTGTTTCTTGGTTTTATCAAGCATCTAAAATTTCTCATATAATTCTAAATAGCCCCTAAGTTTATATCCTGACCTTACCACACACCAGTCTACAAAATAAAAACAGGAGTTCTCGGCATTCTGGAGGCTGTATAAAATTAAATGAATAACAGACTGCAAAAATTATGAAACCAAGAATTCCTTCTCCAAAAACTGTTAATCAAAATTAAATATTTAACCAATACCTTTATATAGAAAACTCCTAAATAGAAAAGAGACTCAATAAGGATTAGTACAGAAATACTCGAGTTATTTTTACTTTACTGTATGTAGGATTATAAATAGTAATGTTTTTCCCTCCTTAAGTCTAATCAGTTTTTTTATGTTATTCAACCCTTAATAATTCAGTTACAAAGGTTTCAGAACTTTTTCACTGACTCTACACTAAAATGAAGGTCTTGCTCTCAGTCGTTAAAAGTGGAGATGCTAGAATGACTGTAGGAGGTTCAAAACCTGGCCGGGCCCCTCATTTGTTGTTTGACTGCAGACAAATTATTCAACCACTCTGTGCCTTAGTGTCCTCATTTATAGAATAGAACCAGTAACAGACCTACCTAAAGCAGCTGCATGGCGGCTCCATGACCGCACAAGCAAAGCACTTAGAAGACAGCCTAGCACACATTAGCCTCTCAATTTGTGGCGTTCTTGTTACTGTTGGCACTATTATTTTCCAGACACTTCCCATCTTTGATTAACACTTATTAAGTGAAGGCAATCTACTATAGCCCAATATATCTACAAATAACCCAGATAAATGATATAGTAAAATTCCTGTGAATATTACTATTGGGATTAAAAGTTCTAAATTATTCAAAAAGGTTAAAGATGTGAATATAAAGTTTACATAATATGAGACACACTTGTAAAAATGCTGCTAGGAATAAATATATGGATGGAAAAAAAAACTACCCAAAGTCAAATTAATTATTGATAATTTAGTGAGACATTGATCATACAGCATTTTGTTTAACTTGGCATTCATATTTTAAAAAGTAATCTCAAAATGGTTTGGATTACTTTAGATTAATGAAATTGATTTTTAATGGGTGGTTACAATAGATTTTTATATACTTTATATGTTGAATTTTTTTAACATTAATGAAAAACAATTCTGAATCTCTGATCGCTTTCTAATGAATAGCTAGAAAATGTCCAGCAAAAATGGAATATTATTTGCCTTTACTGTTAAAGAATGACCATTAAAAATGAATTAGAAGTTAAAAATTCAAATATTCATAGCTCTCTAAAAACTTTTGAAGAAAATCACATACCTGACACCCAGGAGCCTAAACATAACTCAAATAGTAAAGGCGAAATAAGAAAGGAAGGGAATGAAATGGGGTGAGCTTTGCCACAGGCAAATAGAAAATTTGAATGGAACAACAAGCTTGTTATAGAAGTATGGCTTTAAAAAAAATACTATAAGATGGGAGCAACCCACAATTCATAACCCATTAAACCTTAGCCAGGTTGGTCTTTACAATAAATATTTTCAAACATAAGTGATTAAGAATATTTCAACCCATTCATTTATATTGGAATAAGAAATCTTCTGTTCTACTATGCCATTTAAATTTGCTTTAGCTTCGTTCCATATGTTTCTTAAGATCCTAAAATTAGAATGTGAACCTTACATAATCTTCCACGCCAGCTTTTTCAAACATCAGATGAGTTCTGCAGCAAAGCATATGTGATTTAAAAAACTCATGAATTTATGGTAGATCAATCCCAACACTCACTTAGTCTTGGTTCTTGATAGAGGTCACCCCTGTGAATGTCAACAATTACAGTTGAAGTTCTAGGGCAATCTAGCACATTTAAGGTTATCAAGCCACTCTTGAATATAACTTCAGCTTTAAAGCACAACATTTGATATGTTACAGCATCAACGTCTTTATTTTCTAAGCAGTCTAAAATTGAAGATTTCCTCTTTGATCCAATAAGTACATGTGCAAGAATGTTTTATATTTCTAAGAGATTTTAGAGTTTTTTGGGTTTTGGTTGTTTCATAAAGTTTTATTATTAATCCATTATAGATGATCAAAGAATGTGGTCTATAAAATTTCTACTTTCTGAATCCAAGTAAGGTAGCATTAAGGATGCTTGGAAACAAGGGGAAAATTATCTTGTGGGGGAAAATGTTCTATCTGTAACTATTAAGTCAATACTATTATCTTATTCTAATACTATATGGTTTTTTTTAATCAACTTGATAAACATTAAGATCTATTAAAAGATTCAAGAGCAACGTTCTCTCTATTTTTCCTCAGGTATCTAATAGTTCTGACTTAAATGACAATGCTATGTTATTTAGCACACAAAAGTGCATGACTACATTATCTTTATTGGGAATAATACACTTTATGAATTCTCCTTTACTATCAATATCATCTACCTCTATTTTCTTTCCTTCTTTGCCTCTTCTTCCCTTTCTACCTTCTTGCCCTCTTTTTCTTGTTCCTTTCCTGTTCTGATATATCTGACTTTTTTACATTGTTTCAATGTACATCATAACACTTAGTTTAATGTATACCTAAATATCTAGTCTAAGAGCCTTTATTTTAATTGAGCAGTTTATAACATTTCTTTATTTTCACAACTATGATCTTAACTTAATTTTTGAGAACTCACTTTATGCTTTCTGTTTTAATGTTTGCTTTTTTTCCCAATTTCTGGAACAGTCATTCTTTCATCCAGTAATATTTACTGAATAATGCATGTCAGATATTGTAACATATAGTTGTATTTCATTGCTTTTATTTAAGTGACTAAGAAGGTACTCATCTTTCAAGTTTCTCCATTTAGACATCACTTAGGAAATCCTTCCTTGAACTGTTAAATTTAAATCACATTCCCCTATTATTCTTTCCCATGATACTCTTTAATATATTTTCAAAGTACTTTTCAATTCTTTATTTGTGGGTTATTAGTTTAGTGTCTATCCACATACTAAACTCCATGAGGATACCCACCTTGTCTGGCCTGCTTACAGCTATATATCCAGGGTCCAGAAGTAATTACCATGTATCAAGAGACTCAAATGTTAGTTAAAAGAATGAAATAATTAATTAATTAATAACGTAGATAGTCTTAAAAATGCAAACTGTAATTGTCTTTAATTTAAAAACACTTTGACTCTATATTAGTGATGGGGTCATAGGCTATTTTCATTCATTTTACTGTTTATATTCTTTTGTACTTTTAAATGCTTTTGATCACCATTGTGGATAAAGAATGAAATTATTTTATATGAGTCCTTCCTTATTAAAAAATAAATTAGCACTAATTAGACTTTTCTAACACTTATTTTTATTAATAGGGGCTTTATTCTTTAACCAAGATTCACTCAGTTAACTCAATAGCATGATCTAAATACATGACACGGTAGGGAGCATTACTACTGCAGACAGGATGTAAGTGATTTGGTTCAAGTATCAGAAATTATATAAAGTTGCTCAATAATTAAGTTTGGTTAAAGAAATGCAAAATTTTTTTATCTGGATATTTTTAAGGAAAGGAGAACTTTCTGGGACAAACTAAGTGGTCTCTAACACAAAAAACAGGTGGATGTACCCCATGACCTGTCAAAGGGTCTGTTGTTTCTCATTCTATTGCCTGCTGCCTTTCTGAATATCCTCTCTAGACTAGGAGAAAAAAGTGTGTAGGTTTTCAAGTAAAAGTTAGCATTCATAAAATTTTTATATTACGTACTTATTTGTAGGTATCTGAGCATACAAATCTATAAAACTGTTGGTGCAAGGCTCATCTGTATTGTCAACAGCACCATCACTTAATATATAATGCGCTGAGTGAAAATATCAACACTCTAGGGAAAAATGTTAAGTGATCATAAGAATAATCCTTGTCAAATAATCTGATTGCTTATATGCTTTAAGTTTAGTTATATTGGAAAAACCATCTTTTTGTTTCATGTACAAACCTTTTTAAAATGCTTTCAGAATACATGCTGTTCTCTGTCCTTCTCAGTTGCGTTAGGTCCTTCCACTGTGCAGACAGGAGTTGCTCTGAATCCATCACGGTTCCAACACTTACTTGATAACATAGGTTACAAATATAAACAAACGATATTAATCTATGCCAACAATATGCCCTAAAATGGGTCACATAACAATTAATCAGAAACTTTTTTACCTAAGTGTGTAAGTAAATGAAATTACTTTTTCTTACATAATATATTCATTTTCATAGAGGTATTATGTGTATGGGGATAAGATTCGATTTCTGAACTTAGAGAAATATTTTTGTGGCTTTAAATTTTATTTCTGTTTAAGCTTCTAATCAAGCTTTTTCTTCTACTTGGGAAGAGAATTTAGAAACACTCTATTGGAGTCCAACAAGAATGGAATAGTTAAACACGTTATGATATATGCAGATAATGGAATGCTATGGAGCACTTCTGAAATAATGTTAAAATGTAAATAGCAAAAAATAAGTAAAAAGTATATGTATTTAATCATAAGCAAATGTGCCTAACATATTTTTAAAAGATGCAAAAACAGTATACAATATAAAGATATTTGTTTGCATGTGAATGCCACCTGTTTGTGTTTATGCTAGTTAGAATTAAGTTTGTCACTTACAACTAAAAAAAGTCCTAACTGGAACACTTGTAGATTGTTAATTAATTTAAAAACTATGTTAAAATAGTTTTCATTTTTTAAACTGATACTTTATTTTTTAAAACAGCAGCTTTCAGAGCCCTTGTTAAAACAATAGAATAAAAGAAAAAAGCATTTATGCCTAAATCTTGTTTTCTGCCATGGAGATATCACTTTTTAAAAAGTAGCACTATTTTAAATATACAAGTAAATGTTCTCTGTATTAATACTTCAAAATACACTCTACAGTCCATCTATGTGATGCTTTACATCTGTGTGCCACCACACACACCTAGAGTATCAGAAAAATGGTGATTACCCTAATCTAAGTAAGTGTAATATTAGAAGTGTAGTTATAAGTTTTGGAATTTATACATGCCAATTAATCTTGATGATAATCAAGAAACCAAATGTGGTCTGTGGACTTATCCCCTTACCATCTTGTCTGCCTACTTTCTACAGGAAATTAATACTTTCTCCCTATTTTAAAAATTAACTCAAAAATTAAAGAATGGAGAATATTAGAAATTCCCTCAAAGTGAGAAAAAACTTATTTTACCTTACTATCCATTTAAGTTATATCACTAAGATCACAGCAGGCCTGTTAAGCTTCTGAACACATCCATGTGAAATGGAAAGATGTTTACGTACCTCACTGATGATACTGTCATTACTAAGTGAAGTGTCAGAAGAGGTGGGTTAATTACAACTTAATACAGCTGACATTCTTATCTTACAAATGCAGTTGTGTTCCATTTTATGCATGTCTATATCCATTAAGCATAATCTCTGTTAGAACTAAATAATATCTAAAAACACTATTCAGGAAGAATAAATTATGGTCTGAGGTTAAAGTGGGTGTTAATTAGAACTGATTCTAAGCAAGAAGATGCATATCAGTGGACAAAATAATACACATACTAGCATTATTTGGTAAATGTAATAGATGTCTCATTTTTTGCAAACAACAGGAAAATTTCCAGAGAAGCAAACATCTTAGTTACTGTGTGTTCATATCACTGAGGGCATTCTGAGAGTTTTTCAATCTTAACTTATTTAATAATATTGTGCAATAAATACAAAGAAATGAACTCTTTAAATTCTCTAAACAAAAATTATAAATAAAAGTATTACAGCTTTGTCACAGTTTTGTCTTCAGCATCTATTTGGCCAAACAAAACAGTTTTTTTTTTTTTCAGGGAGCAAGAAACTGTTAAAGGAGCAAGGATTTGAAAGTCTGGGAGACTTAGCTTTAATTCCCAGTATACTATGTCTTAGGCAATTTACTTTAACCTGTCTCCCTTGGCTCTTGTGCGAAATGCTCATGACAACTACGTCAGAAGAGTCCCTATCTTATGCCATAGCAGTAAATACAATAACTGGTCCTCAATTCGTTTTCCTCTTCCTTTCCCAAGTGAAGGTGATTTCAGATATCATGAGCATTTTGAACTGAATTCCTAGCTGCAAACTATTCAAAGTAAGAGACATAGCCGATTCATATTCTGAAACCTGAAATGGGTCTTTTAAAACCCCTAGTATCTAAATGATTTGAAATAATATTACTTCAACAGCTCAATAAAGTTCTCTTAGAATTTGTTGTATTTGATGATTCAATTAGTTTTACCTTTAAATGAATATACAAGTGCTGGTTTAAAATCAAGATGCTGGTCAAGCAAAACTATAACTGAGCCTCTTAATTCAGGCATATAATGTAACTAAACAGCCTACAGTACAATGAAGTCAGCAAAGTAAACACTGGAAAGAGATAGTGGGTCTTGTTGTCTCTGTTAAACATGTCAAAGTACTGCATTTAAAAATATTTGAAAAATCTGCCTGTTTTCCATCTGTTATATTTCCAGAGGATAACTGAAAGTTCATGTGAAAGTTCACTGTAAGTTCAAGTATGTCATATCAGGTCATTTGCAGTGTAAAAGTTCACTGGGAGTTTATTATTATTTTTTTAAAGACTGAAGTGGAAAAAGAATAAATATACTAACAAGCTATTTTATATTGCATTATGAGCACTGCATTTTTAAGCATCATAAATAAAAATTATATATTATAAAAGGCCATGTGCAATTCATAATAGCAATAATAAGGAAGATGCATAATATAGTATCCTTGGGACTGTTCTTAGAGAAGAAGCTGTCAATTTTGGTTGTTCTGGATATTATTTAAAGTATAACAACTGTCATATTTACATTGTATTGAATACTTTATTTAAACTCATATTTCAAAACAGTAAAATAGAGATACAGAAAAAGTGAAAAGCATAAGATATATAAATTAATATCTTATCATCTATAAACTAGAAGAACAGAATTTAGATGAATAGAAATCATTTTTAATTTGCAATTGCTAAGAATGCTATTTGAGATACACCATTTGTGGCTGCTTATGGCAAAAGGAAGAAGCCAAGAAAAATGTTTCATTTGGAACAAAATTACTGATCATTGGGAAAAATTTCTAAATCGAAAAGACCTTACTCAATACTATTTGAATTACTGAAGGAAAAATTAAGATTTTAGGGGGATTAGACCCTCATACATTAAAAAATATATAAAAGAATAGTTTTCAAGGAAAGTAACTGTACCTGTATATAAAATTTAAGACATAACTTCTGGATTCAAAGATTAAGAGCATTTTCTTTCTATAAAGTACTGGTACATAGGAGAGTTCAGCAAAGGCGTCTAAATGTATTGAGTAGAAGTTCATTCCACTGTTTCTCAATTTCTCCTGTCAAATACATGTCCTTAGCTTCACAACATAACTTCAAGTCTATAATTTGCTTCTTAAATTGAAAAGCACATTTGTTTATCTCCAGTATATCTATATTCTTTTTATGATACATTGCCAATTGATTTTACTGGATCATAGCTTTTATTCATTAATTCAGTCATTCATAAATGTTCATCCAGTATTTTCAAGGTGCTGCAAATAGTAAGGATTACAAAGAACATAAAAATTCTGTTTTCAAGAAGCTTACAATTCAGTAGAATGAGTAGGAAAAAAAATAATACATAAATAAGTAAATAGCACACAGTTGCAATCATTCAGTGCCATATGAAAGACACAGGTAAAATGACTTGAGAGCTCGTAGAAACCATTATGTGTAGTCAGCAATCAAATCTTGGAGTTAATTACTAGCTGAATACCTAACCAAGATGCTAATTCATTTGTTGGGTTTTTTTTTTTTTTGCCAAATTGTTAAACATGAATTAAGAGCAAACTTAAAAAAAAAAATCTCTTTACTACTTCATTCCAATTCCTTCCAATATATACATTGATCGTATCACAGAATGGTCATGTCCATGTTTTGCTTAGAAAAGATGGTATTGGATTTGGAAACAATTACAATTCCATACATGAAAAACTTCTAAAAAGGGTGAGAGAGTGTGTAACATTTAAAAGCAAAACCATATTCATCACTGACCAGGAATTTCAATAATCAAGACTTGAGAAAAGTCACAAGTTACATCAGGTAAGAGGAAATGCTGAGGAAATCACCAATTTTGTATAACAGCTGTTCAGCTACTGTACCAAAGAAAACTAACCCCCCATGCAGGGGGTCTTGGAGATGAACTGTCCATCAGGAAAACACGCTAATACGGGGAGTCCTAAATTGTGCCTAGGTGAAAAAGAGAAATTTCTGGTTCAGAACAGCCAGGAAGAAAACCTGAGTTAGACACTACTTTTGGTGAATAACAGTTATCCAAAGCTAAGTGTGTATTTTACATATTCTATTTTTATACGTAATATTATACCTTTTTAAGTTACATGATAACTTCTTAATGTTTGATAAGTACTGAATACAGATGATGTCTGGGAGCCAGAGAAATAAATCATATTGAGAGGAATGGATGTTTAATATAGAAATTCAAATACGGTTTTTCAAAAGGTTTGGAATCGGTCTCTAGTTCTTGATGTGAGTGATGAGAAGCCCACCTGGACAGAATATGATATTTGAGGGTAAGAAGTCAGCAGGAATGAGATTGTAGCTGTGTATAAAAAAAATAACTTTTTAACTGTTAAGGAAGGAAAGAAAGATACTTCTGAGTAAGAAGGAAAGATAAGAAAATGGCAAAGAAGTGGCTTGTGATGAGGACAGGTGGAGAGCACGGGCCGTTTTCCTGGGCCACTCCTCCTGTTTGCCGATGTCTAATCACAGCTTCCCATCTCTGAACTGATTTTCTCTCTGTCACTAACTCTGGGTCTAATGAATAAGCATTCAGCTACACTCCCTCCGCTGCCCTCACCTTTGCCCTCACCCTCTCCTTCTCTAGATTCCCTGATTCTCCCCTGCCTTTCTCTGCACACTCCAAGCCACCTCATCCATTCCCAGGGCTTCACCCAGCAACTCTCACTGAAAGTCAAGTGAATTTTTATGACTTTTCCTCACATTTCCTCAAGTTTTCAATTGCTTGTATATCTCACAGACCAAAATCTGAAAGAAATATTGTTTCCACTTCCATTACTACCATTATTACTATTATTGCTATAAGCACCATCACTGCTACTACCACTTCACTTGCACTAGTACTATCATTATTACCATCTCTGCCGGGTACCATTTACTTAGGTGTTTACTATGTGTCAGGTATTGGACTCAGCCCTTACCAACAGCAACCTGTTTATTGTAACCTTTATAACTATATGAGTAGGTATTATTATCCTTATTTTATACTCAAAGGACTCAAAAAGACCTCTATCTCCATAACTGAGATATGCAACATACATTCAGATAAAACCAAAGTATGCTTCTATTCTTGTGAATGCAATTTATTTTTTATTAGTCTACAAATATTTGGTGAACATTGAAGTGCAAAACAATAAAATAAAAATGAAGACTTTGTTGAAAACTTACTATATATTTTGGCACCATTCAAAGTATTTTATTCACTCCCCATCCATAGTAGCCCAAAGAGAGTAGGTATTATTCTCATTCCACAAATGGGTGAATTGAAGCACATAACAGTTGAGTAACCTTTTCCATCTCACAGAGCTATTAAGTGATAGAACCAGGATTCCAGGCAATACCTCTAGAGTTTATGCTATTTAATTGCTATTCTGGGTAAAGGATGCATCTGATAAATCCATAGGAATGTGAAGACCATGCCCTTAAAGAATTTACAGTTTGGTTGAACAGATAAGATCAAGATGATAAAAACTAGATAGTTGTATTTCTGGCACTTCAACTATCTGTTTAACAGTTGCAAAGCTGTTGTACTGGAAACAAGAGACATGGAAACCAATTAAAATTTGTAATAGCTTTTAGAATCTAGATAAAAAAACTGACAACTGTGGATAAATATGAAAGGAAGAAAATAAATATACTGTGGATTGAAACCTGACCTTACTGGTGACCGTACCATGGATGAGATAAGAGAGACCAGACAGGAGAGCAAAGACCACCTGCGTCCAGGTCAGCGGGAGACTGGACACACTGCTGTCAGAAATGTACAAGTCTTAGAGGCTGGTGAGTTCAAGGAAAAATAAAATTATAAACAAAAACAAACTTATTCATATATTTCTAATGGAGTTGCGACACAGGGCAATAGATGTAAAGCTGGTAGTCATCTGCTCCCAAGTAAGAGTCAACACTGAAAAAACATGATCCTTGTGAGGGACAGAACACAGTTATAAGAGCAGAGGGCTGAGGACCCGTGTCCCTTGGTGCTGTAACTCTCGTGCTTTTATTGTTTCCTACTGGTCTGGTACCATACGACAGCTGAGGAGGAGGAGGAGGAAGGGTTAGGAAGAAGAGTAAGCAGCACCTGCTCGGCTCTAGACGAGGCTCAGAGAAAAAGTGTGAGACAAGACTGAAAAGAACCACTGTCTGGACTGAGAGCAGTCTGGTTCCTAATTTACACTAGAGGCGGAGGCCTATGTATCTAAGCTTCACATCAGTCAGCTGGCTCCTGTTACAGGAGCTACTTAACAATTTGGACCCAGAGCTTTCTAACAGCAAAGCTCTAGATGGAAAAGGGTGATCAAAAAAGTAACTCACTAGCAGGCCCCCACATTTCACATTTCCAGTGTATTTAATGTATGTAGTTCTGTAAGGGAGTCTCTATTTCTATTTTAGGCACTGTGTCCTAGTTTCCTTAGCTGCCATAACAAAATACCAAAATCTGGGTGGCTTAAAGGAACAGAAATGTATCATATGAGTTCTGGAGGCTAGAAGTTCAAAGTCAAGGTGCAGACAGGGAGGGCCGTGCTCTCCCTAACAGCTCGCGGGGGTGCCCTTCCTTGTTCTTATCTAGTTTCTGGGGACTTGCCGGCCATCCCTGGTGTCTTTGTTGTGCAGATGTACCCCTGCAACCCCCTCACACGGTCTTCTGATTGTCTTCACATTGTCTTCCCTCCGTGTGTCTTTCTCTTATCCACACATCCACTTTGTGTAAGAACACCAGTCCTAATGGATTCAGGCTCAATCTAATGATTGCATTTTGACTTGATTACCTCTATAAAAACCCTGTCTCCAAATAAGGTCACATTCAAAGGTAGTGGGGGTTAGAACTTCAATACATCTTTAGAGGACAGAATTCAACCCAAAGAAGATACAAAGCTTAGCTTAAATAATAGGAACTATAATAATGGAATATAAAAGTATTATATATTATCTTAGGCAATATGATTTTTAAGATGTCAGAAAGAATTGTCTTCAAACATAGCTCTGGATCCCAAAAAGATAATGAATGATGGCTAGGATATAAAGTTTGTGTTTCACAATACAAATAAAAACAATATATATAGCAAAAATAAAAACCAATACAAATAAAAAATGAAATATGGTTTAATAAACAGGAAATAAAATTTCTAAAATGCAGCTATTATATACCATGCTATATAATCTTTATATATATGTGTGTGTGTATGCATGTGTGTGTGCATGCATACACACACACACACACACACACACACACACACACACATCGCTTCCTACCAGTCTGGTACCAAATGCCAATCCATGAATATTCCACCAGTACTCTGAGTACCATTCAGTGACCACAATCACTGACATGGTCTGTAAGGCTGCAGACCAAACAAAAACAATGGCATGAATATGGTGAGCAAAATGTTCAAACCTGCCCAAATACAAAATAAGTTATAAATAAAACTTAATTTTTGAAGATATTGTCATAAAAGTAGGAAAACTCTTGATGACTTTACATGGCTGCCATTTTGTTTTTGTTTTAATAAAGTAAGCTAATGATGCAGAAAGGCTAGTTTGGAATAACAGCAAAAACACTGGTCTAAGAATCACAGAATATGTGGAAAACCCATGAAAATTTTAAAGTGCTCCAAAATGTAAGTCATCATCAGACTTGAAATGTGACATTAAATTGTCATTATATTATAGAAAAGAAAATCTATAAAATATTACTGTCATAGTTCATATGTTAATGGGAGAAAATGCATTAATATATCTATTATTAAAACTCACTCTCCAAAACTCTGGAAGATCTGAGGCTCTTTATAGAGTTGAGAGCTTTAATCAGCATGGGATAATAAAATATTTTTAGTTTTTTGGCCTATTTCAATCCATTCTCTACCAATTAACTAGATCTGTAATTTTGGGCAAGTTATATAGCCATATTATATGTAATTTTTTTCATCTCTCAAATGGGGACATCTGCCCAATAAGTGAATTGTGAAATAAAAAATAATATTCTGAAGTGCTATCACATAGTAGGTACTCAAAAAATGATGGTTACTTTGTTTAATAAAATTTCTTGAATCTTTATATGACATATTTCTTTAGCTTTAAAACCTGCATTACTAAAGAAATACAATTATGTTCAGTTTAAAATGCATTTAATGTGACCTACCTGACACATATATTTCAATTTCTAAAAAGCTTAAGCAAATTTTTCTGTAACATAATTAAAAGAATAGAATTACTACTAATATTATTATTAGACTTACCTTTCAGTTGCTAATAAATCAAAGTCATTGCCCTTCCAACCAAACTATGAGAAAAAAAAAATACAATTAATGGTTTTATTTACAATACACACATTGATAGGTAGAATTTTAGTATACGTTCAAGAGAAACAATTCCATACTTGAACTAAAGTACAATTAAAGACTACTACAAAGAGTCAAATACAAAGCTATATGGAGAAATGAATAAAAGCCCTCATACAAATTTCAAGTAAAAATTTACACTAGTGCCTGAAACAACCAAAAAAACAGACAAAATATATGAAAAAACAGTTTTCAAGACATGAGATATAATGCAACAAAGAACAATGATCCCTAAGAGACGTGAAATAAATGTGAGGGGCCTATAATTTAGTTTCCAGGCCATATGCTGGGAGGGGGATGGCAAGGGGAGGCCAGCAGATTGATTCCCTGATTTGAGGAGGTGAGAGTCCAGTGAGACTACGAGGACTATAATTTGTAAGATAGTTTACCACAGAGAGAGAGAGAGCTGTATAGATAAGGAACTCCAGAGATCTGCGCAGGGTGCCTGTCAAGTATTCAGCCAAGAACTAGCTAATGCATGAATGTGAGGCAGCTATCCTAGTCTGGGAATAGTGCCTATTTTCACTAGCCACAATGGAAAATCTCATAATTCATAGGAAAATAGGTACAGTATTCAGAAAAATCTTGCATCAATTATGAGAAATAATTAATCATAGACTAAATGCTGCTCTGGTCCTATTTAACAAATCTGAAAAAGCAAGACCAAAATGGATCAAACAATTCCAAAGTAACATCACATTTCAAGACAATAAAATCATTTACAGGAATATGAAAATATTCAGCAACTAACAAGGTAATGTCTGACATCCAATCCAAAATACCAGCCATGCAAAAAAGCAGGAAAATATGACCCATACTGAGAGAAAAATCTATTAATTGAAACAGACTCATATCAGGTGCAGATGTTAAAATTAGCAAAGACATTAAAGCCATTTATATAACTGTATATTCTATGTGTTGAAGAAAGAGATAAAATAGAACCAAAACCAAAGCACAGAAAAGATCCAAATCTGAACTCCTAAAAAAGAAAATTATAAGTTTGAGATTAAAAAAACACAGATCATGAGAATAGCAAATTAGACATTGCAGAAAAGACTAGTTAACTTGAAGACACAGCAGTTTCATGGAGAGAAAAGAAAATTTAAAAGTTGAAGAGAGCATCATTGAGATGCTGAAAAACTTTNTTACATATAGAATTACAAAGGAAGAGATGAAAGCAGATTTCTCATCGGAAGCCAATACTGAGAAAGCAGCAGAACAACAACTTTAAGGTACTAAGAGAAAAACAAAACAACTGCCAACCTAGAATTCTATACTCAGATAATATCTGTCAAAAACAATGGCGAAATAAAGACTTTTCCAGACATAGAAAAGCTAAAAGAATTCATCAGCAGCAGATCTCTATTATAACACTCTAAATATTAAAGGAAACCCCTCAGGGAGAAGAAAAATGAAACATGGAAATACTATTGCACACAAAAGACTGAAGAGCACCAGAAATGTTACTTACATGGCTAAATATAGATTGTTTTTCTTGGCATTTTAAGCATTTTAAAAGATAATTTATTATTATAATGCCAATAAATATAAATAACAATGACTAATCACCTAATACCAAATAATAACAATGTATTGTTGGGTTTATAACATACAAAGTAAAATGTAGAAGTAAAAAGAAATAAAAGCACAAAAATAGGGGAGAAATAGAAATATATGTTAAGTTCTTATACTCTATGTGAAACAGTATAGTATCACTTGAAAGTAGACTACCACATTAAAGATACATACAACAAATGCTAAAGCCACCACTAAAATAAGTTACAATAAGCCAGTAATTGAGATAAAATAATATCATTAAAAAATAAAAACCTCAATATCAAACAAGGTAGATGAAAAGAGGAACAAAGAATTAAATGAGACAAATAGAAAACAAATACCAAGATGACAGATTTAAACCTAACTATATCAACAGTCACATTAAAGTAAATGGTCTAAATACCCCAGTTAAAAGGCAGAGATTGTCAGATCATATAAAAAAGCAAGACTCAGAAGAAAGTTGGCATAACTACATTAGTATCAGACAGATAAATTTCAGAGAAAAGACTACCAGGAATAAAAAGGTCATTCATTTCATAATGACAAAGAAGTAATTTCATCAGAAGAACATAATAAGGCACTTGAATCTTCTCGAGTTGCCCACTTGGACCCCTCCAAGTGTCCTCTCGCTTCTGCCTAATAAACTGTTTGCTGCTTTGTTTTGCAAAAAGAAAAAAAGACATAATAATTAGTTATGTAATTGTAATTATCATTAACAGAAGCTCACTAGAGCACAACATGTGAAGGAGGGGAGGAAATGTCCCTTAAATGTATTTATAATGTTCAGAGATGGGAAGAAGCAGGGATAAATAGTAGAGTATACTTTGCAAAATTTCCCACCCCCAAAATTTTACTGGTGCAAGGAAGAGAAGAAAAGGACTATTGAGGATCCCTAATTTAAGAAACTATAAAAGCTGAAATGTCAGACACAGGTCAGAAAATAAACCCACATCTGTAAATTGGTTATTTCACCCTCTTGTGTCCCTAAATTTGCACACACACACACATACACGCATATATATACACATATACACACATACAATATGTTCAGTAATGTGATTTTCGTTTTTAAAAAAGCAAATCATCTGTCAAACTCTGTGGTTCTGAAAACACATACAATATTTGGGTTCTTAAATAAAAATCCATCTTGTGTTTTTTGTGCATAAACTAATTTTTTAAATGTCAAACTAAATCTAAATATTTTTCCAGTTCTAACTCATCAAAAAAAAATTATCAGCAGAGAAAAAGTGCTCACTAACATGTTCCAAATTAATAGAAATTTATTAGTGCCACCCTGTGGTAAATCTCACACCTTATAAAATTTTACAAATGAAGAGACTGGTTTGTACAAATAAAGAGTTAGTTTAAGCTGTCTTCATTAACAGAAATCAGTTTTTAGGTTGCCAATATTCTTCTGAATACCTTATATGTATCAGAACCTCTCTGAAAGCAATTTTAATGTCTTTTGTATTTAGGATCCCCAATAGCTGCACATGGCAGGTACTCCATAAATGTGAGCTGAATGTGCTTATGATTCATTAATACTTAAAACC